ATGAAGAAAGATGGGCCAGGATCCATCTCCTTATATACCCCGGCTATTGGCGGGCGGGGATCAGACGAGTGGCGGGTAACTCCCCCTTCCATCACGTGGAACGGGCCAAATCGGCTTGATTCGTTCGGATTTGTGGGTAATGACTCGATCTAGACGTCCATAAGCTCATCTCGTGATTTAGGATAGTGAGCGCATGTTTTGTTTCCCGGCATACCATAAGCCCTTGCTCGAAATTTGGATGTTGAGGGGGCGGCTACTAGCGGGTATTTGATAAGATAAGAGTGAGATTCTTGTGCTGAGAATTCGGATATCTACACATCCAAGTGGGCCTATACTAAAATAGTTAGCCCACAATATAGATGTGGACCTCGGATTGATGGGAAAATGTCGGGTGGGTTCCAGTCTGCCGATAACAATTTCGCTTTGTGCCAAGGTGGTCACGAAACCCCTTCCAGTCAATTCCCCCTAGCGACATAAATCATTCCAAACGAAAATTTCGTGGTTTTATCCATTCCCGACGCAAAACTTTTTAGACCATTTTTTGATGATCTATGTCCCAGCATTTAACCCAAAATTGCCCACTTCATCACCAATAAAAGAATTAAACATCCATAAAATCCTTTCAACTCAATTGATTTCCCAATGCAAAAAAATCCGATAAAATTGCATCCGTCGGAGAGAGCTTCGCCTTGATCTTACAATAGCTTAACGATTGTCTATGAATTAGAATGCAAAATAGCTTAGTATACAAAAAGCAGGCCTTAGAACTCGCCCTTTTCGTGAATGTCGTCTCTGGCCAACACATCCTCCAAAACACCGGCGGAAGCAGCAACCAAGCCCAAGAATGGTCTCGAAGGGTCCAAGACCTTGGAGCAGTACTCAGGGTGGTACTGGGTGCCGACAAAGAACTTGTGGTCCTTGAGCTCGACAATCTCCATTCTCTTCTCTGTCTCGTCCTTACCAATGAAGTGCAAGCCCTTCTCCTCGATACGGTCGATCAACTTGGGGTTGACCTCGTATCTGTGTCTGTGTCTCTCGAGAACAGACTCAGCACCACCGTACAACTTTCTCAACTTGGACCACTCCAGGTCCTTGGAGAACTTGGTGCTGTGGATACCCAATCTCATGGTACCACCCAAGTTGATCTGGTCAACGTCAGGCATGTAGACGACGGAGGAGGTCTCCTCGTCGGCCTCAGGGTGGAACTCCATGGAAGTAGATTTCTCGTAGCCCAACATGGAACGGACAAAGTCAATGACGGCAACCTGCAAACCCAAGCACACACCCAAATAAGGCACATTGTTCACTCTAGCGTAGTTGGCAGCGGCAACCATACCCTCGATACCTCTGGAGCCGAAACCACCAGGCACAAGAATACCGTCAGCCTGGCAGACCATATGCCATGCCTTGTGGTAGTCAGCGAGGGAGGACTCCTTGGTTTCAAGCTCCAAGTCACTGGACTCCACCCACTCGATCTTCAATTTACGGTAACAACGCATGGCCGAGTGCTCCAAAGCCTTGATCACAGAAAGGTACGAGTCCTTCAAGTTGGTGTACTTACCCACAAGGGCAATGGTGACCTGCTCCACGGACTTGTCGTGAGCAGAGGTCAAGGATCTCCAGGAAGTCAAGAGAGCAGCGCCTCTGGCCTTGGAGCTTTCAGCCAAGTCGACCTCGTCCAAACGCAATTTCTTCGACAAGAACTTCATCATCTTCTGCTCCTGCAACAAGAGAGGAACGTGGTAGGTGGAGTTGACGTCTCTGATGGCCACCACCTGCTCTGGGCCGGTGTGGCAGAACATACCGATTTTCTGGACGGTAGCCACCTCCAACTCCTCGGAGCATCTACATGCGATCATGTCGGGGTTCAAACCAAGCGATCTCAACTCCTTGATGGCAGCCTGGGTGGGCTTGGTCTTTTGTTCGCCGTGAATGACCAAAACAAGCGACACGTGGATCAAGGCAAAGTTCTCCGAACCAACACGGAACTGGAACTGTCTCAAGGCCTCGACAAATGGAGCACTCTCAATGTCACCAACAGTACCACCCAACTCGATGATACACACCTCAGGCTCCAAGCCAGACTCGTCCACAGGCACACGAGCAACTCTCTCGATCCACTGCTGGATGGCTTCGGTGATGTGGGGAACCACTTGCACGGTTTTACCCAAGTAGTCGCCTTTTCTCTCGCGTTCAATAACATGCGAGTAGATCTTACCCGTGGTGATGTTGTGGTCTCTGGTCAAGGTGATGTTCAAGTATCTCTCGTAGTTACCCAAGTCCAAGTCGACCTCGCCACCGTCGTTCAAAACAAAACACTCACCGTGTTCCAATGGAGACATGGTTCCAGCATCGATGTTCATGTAAGGGTCGATTTTGATGGAGGTGACCCGGAAGCCCAAGGTCTTGAAAAGAAGGCCCGTCGACAGCGCCAAAACACCCTTGCCGATACCCGAGATCACTCCGCCGGAGACAACAACGTACTTCATGTTTGTAGTAGTTGGACGGGAAGAAAAGATTTCGCGATGAGACTTGTGTGTATAGATGCCTGAAAAGCGCTGGACCGTTCAGTACTGGAGGGTGAGAAAGCGCTTAAGAAATGTTGTAAGGAGGAATTTTTATGCTTTTTGGTTTTTGGTATTTATTTTTGAAAGATCGTTTAAGCTCTCCAGAGTAGGGGCGATGACTTGGGACACTACGTCAGTGGAAGTGGTGTGGGCTAAATGGCTGCGAAACGCAGTACGAGATGAGACGTGATGGGGAGGGTTTTGTGGATTTGGTGGGGAAAATAGGGGAGTTTTGGTCAATTGGGGGAGTTTCGAGAAATGTGGGTTTCTTGGGTGAATTGGTTTTTTAGGTGTGTGGTGTGGAAATTGGGGTTAATGGTGGGTTGAGACGATGCCCTGGTTTAGGAGCCGAAGCGACATCTCATATGTGGACCTCTGCTTTCCATTGAAATTGTGATGAGGAGATGGTATACAAAGGTTTGTTTTATGTTTTCCGATCAGTTTGTGGATTGTCTTGAAGTGTTCAGTGAGATGCATTCGAGTTAGCTGATGTTCTGAAATGGTCCACCAGCAAGTGAATGAACCTTGACACTGCAAGCCTCAGATGGTTTCTCTTGTTGTAAGCTGTGGCCGAAAGAGGACTGTAGCTGTAGTGATGACTTGCTTCAATGATATAGCAAGACATTGGATCAATGGCCATTGACCTTAACAAGGTGGAAACTAGACCGCAACCATGGAAAGACTGTGCCTTTAAAAGCCCGTATTTCTCGTTTCATGGGCTATTCTACAGTACTCTCGCCGGAATTAATCTACTCAAAAGAGCTACAAGGTAGAGAGGTTATTCAATGATGAGATGCCAGAGGTGAGCCAAAATTGAAGCCGACAAGGACAAATTCAAAGGAAATGCCCCAGATATACTTTATCTGAATTCAAGGTTAACAAAAGCCACATTTTGTAACTTCCCAACATCAATACGCTTTTCCCTCTATCCACGAAGTCTGCTCCACCTTTCCTTATTACCTCCCCTTCAACACCTCCACCTCCTCAATCAATGTCCGCCGCTGTATACACCTGATCCCGTAGAAGCGGTCCAGGTACCTTCAGACGGCATTCTCTGTCGCCCAGGAAGCCGATGTTCCCACCGGCAACCAATGGCTGCCTACAAAAGATCGTGAAGCCCTTCCATTTCTATACGTCTATTACACGATCTTCACGCCCTCGATCTGGCCCGAATTGTCCTCGGCCATGATGATCTGTGCCTTTCCCTGTTTCATAAGCACCTGCAACACCCGTACAAAGAGATTGTAGTCGATATTCTTGAAATCCTCGCTGGTGGTGGAATCCTCCAGCTGGGTCAATTCGTACACGGTTAGAATCGTTCCGAGCTGTCCTGTGCTGTCCACGTAATCCCTTAAAAGCTTAGCCCATTCTGGAAGCGTTCTCCAGTGGATAAGGACGCCAGCGTCCAGCTTCTTAGGGTCAATGTAACTTGCACGAGTGGCCTTGTGGATGATGTGGTTCAAAATGTCCTTTTTGAAGGATTCCAGACAAGCCCTTTCCACCTCCTTGTTCTCGAAAAGCGGCGGGAACTCTGTGTCCTTGTTCTGTGACGATAGCACTGCTCCCGTGCCCAGCAAGCTGTATATCTTGTGGTATTCACAGTAGGAAAGAACAAGCGAGGTCCATGCCTCGAGCTGGTGCTCTAGAACAGTAGCATTGCTTTGTTTGGTGAAGAAAGGCGGGAATGAATGTAGCTTAGGAAACTCGAACATGGAGTTGTGGTAGTTGATATGAGGTGGGTGCGAAACTCAAGGCATGATGATAAGTGGATGGTACTTTTGATGCGCTTTTGAGTGGGGTTTCGGGATTTAGATTTGGTCTTGATTATTTGAGGCATTTAGATGATGAAAATTGTTCATTATGTAGTTTTGTTGGTTGGGGTTCAACATTCTGAGTGCATGGGTCCCATACATTGAGAATGGCCATAATGAGGCTTGAGTATAGAGGGAGTACAGAGTATGTACACTCAAGAGGGAGACCAAAAGATAATAAAACGAAGAATCGAAGTTATAGGGAATAACTCTTTTTTTTTTTTAAAGTGAAACGGTTAAATTGAGGTGACACTTTTGTTCATCACAGTAGTATACCACACTTGTCTGCACTTGAAGTGATCCAAGACAACACTACCCTACAATCTTCACAATTTTCAGCTAACTCCAAAAATCCAGACGTGGTACCAAAACATTTAGTTAACAGAACCTTACAACCTCTTTAACCTTCAAACGCCCTGAGAACCTCATTTCTTTATACTGTTCTTACATTCGTGAGTGTCCCAGAAGGGTGTGACAGAAGAGTAGGCATAGCGATTACAGTAAACCCGTCTCCTCCGACAGTTTCATCGATCAAATTCCCGTTCACTTCTTCCCTCAAAAAAGCAAATCACTTGCTCCTCGGTCTACAAACCTTTACTCAGATGTGTGTTCATTAGGTTACTTAAGCCTCAGCCAAGTCTCTCAAACGACGGATGGTCGATCTGACGGTGGCAGCGGCGGCGGTGGACACAGTGTAAGCACCACCAGCAACGGTCTTGTTGCAGGCCTTGCACTTCCAGATACCAGTGGCGGTTCTCTGGGTGGTTCTCTTACCACAGAAAGAGCAGTCGTACTTGGCGTGCTGCTGCACCTCCAACTTCTTGGTCTGTCTTCTCAAAGACGAACCGTATCTCACACCGAACTTACCGGTGATGCCGACCTTCTTAGTTCTCTTAGTCCTGGCTGTTAGTATGATGAAGGGAAAAAGGTACCAAGTATTCGATGAAGAGGGATGGGTATTATCGAGTTTTTTTGATTTATGCTGGAAGGATCATCGGGACTGTAGCGTATATGTTGTGGATGGACGATTTGTGGATTGGAAGGCTGGAGGACGTGAAACTTGAAAAATCTTGCAATGAGGAAGGGACACTGGAATTTCAACAATCGGACGATAATATATTGAAACTTTTGCTCTCAAACATCGGGCGATACATTGGTGGCTTCTGCGGAGCCTCTTGACGGGCTTCAGTGGCAAACATACATTGTGTAGTTGTTGGTGAAAAGGTAAAAAAACCAGGCTTCTATGGCACTTTTTTTTTTGAGTAGGTGCGCAGTGGTGGAAAAAAATCAGTAGTGCATGGGCGAAAATCTGCGCAGAGCTTGTTGTCACGTGTGCGTTGGGGAGTGAGGGCTGGAGCCCTGAGGACGTTGCAGACCATGTATAGCTAGGGGAGCAGAATAGCCTGGCTCAAGCATAGAACGTATGTTTTCTATTAATATTTGGAGACAATAGAGCTTCTTTAAACCTTGGGGTATTGTAAAGTCGTCGTGGTTTTTCTATCACACCATAGCTGAGAGCACTAGTAGTGGTATAAGAGTACCTAATATGAGGCATCTAAAGACACAAGTAACCCATAAGGATAGTGCCCTCTGTGAGTGTTTCGACGGTGTATTGTGCTAATCATACCCTAGATGAAACATCCTTGTATTTCAGGATTAAAATTTCTCTTTTTGATGAGTATCTATAGACGTAGTACCGTCCTAGGTTGCACGACCGCTTGATCCATTAACCACCGATAATCTATAACAGCGACTTAAACAGACCAAGGGCGTTAGAATCATCATTGAACTCTACGTCATCGGAATGTTTCTTCTAACACTTCCCTCAAACCTCTCTTCAAAACCACCACCCACCACCCACTTTTTCGCAGCCATCAAATGGTTGCAAATCCTACTACACCTCCATCCTTTTCCTCCAAAAACCTCTCCCAAATCTCCAAAAACCGCCCACCTCTTCTCTTTCATCCAAAAAACCAAAAATGTCCTTTCTCTCCCTGCCCGGACGGAAACTCACCGTAAACGCCAACGGAAGCTTTGGACCGGAGTTTCTAGGTCGTCATGGCGAATTCAACCCTTTGGTGACGCTTCCACCACACGAGATTCTCCAACTCCATCACGCCGTTTCTAATCACGTTTGCGCTGTTCCTCTGGAAAACGGCGAAATTTGTCGAAGACTGCTCAGATGTCCTCTTCATTCTCAACAAAAGAAGCTCAGTGTGGAAAGGTCTAAAGACTACTGGGTGCTTTTGGAGGAGGCAATGGAAGACCCGGAAAGGGCGGCACATTCACGGAAAATGGTCAGATTGTACTTGGACTACCAGCTGTTCTGGAAACGGAATCCTGGATCTACTCAATCTCCGTGTTCTAGAGATTCGTGTGAAAGCGGTTCCTCTTCAGCACCTACAGAATCGTTGAAGTTGGCATACCTACGCAAAATATCAAAAGAGCTGGGATCGAAGCTTCTAGATTTTGTCGCTTGTGTTCATTACCGCCTACGGTCTGTAGATGAGGCTGCTCTTCGGGAAAACCAGCTACGGCTTGAACTCTTGGATACAGAAATAGAAATCTCTTGATGCTATAGCCCTCGATAGTTGAAGTAAATTGTATCACCTAGACCGGCTTCGCCTACCTTATTCTCGGGAACAAGTCGACTCCTTCCATCTCTGAGTCATCTTCACCATTCATCGGCTCGTCATTGCCAAACACTGGCGCCTGGGCAATATGAGGGGCGTTTCCTAGCCTGACATCCACGTTACGGGGCTCCTCTTGTTCCTCGCTGGCGTCCGTTTGCAGATTCATCTGATTCTCACGGATCCGCTGCTCTACAGCATCTAGCTGCGAGTTGAGCGGGTGGTACAAGGCGCCAAAACGCTGCCTGTTCTGGTCGGCATTAACGAGCTGTTGAATGATGGCATCCAGCTCCACACGTCTAAACGGATCAGGCATGATGAAAGGTGTGTCCCTTCTGGGCGTGCCCTGTCTGTTGCCATCTCTGCCGGGTGACTCTCTGGTTGCTGGGTCCCTCACTCTTCTCAATTCGCCCAATCCACGTTGAGCCGCCCAGGTCGTCATCTCGTCATCATTAATTATATTGCGCCCGTCGCCGGCACCCGCAAACTCGTTCACGGGTCCAGGGGTGCCTAAAACGCCTGGTCCTGCCATGCGGAGCTGGTTGAGCTGCTCAGGAGTTGGATATTGCGTTGGCTCGCCAGGAGCCGGCGTGAGTCTCGCTTCACGCATCCTTCTTTCAAAGTACGCTGGCGAAAAGTCCTCCTGTTGCCCATAGTGCTCCAAAATGTAAGCTCTCTGATCCATCAAGGTATCAAGGTGGTTGCGTAGTTGGACCACGCCATGGCCAGAGAAGACGCAGAAAGACGACTTCTGGTTCTCGGTGAAGTCTGGCGGAGGGTCACGGCAGTACTGTGTGATCTCTCGACGGAGGAAAGCCGAAATGCCTGTAAGTGACAAATGTGTGAGACGAGGACAGCTCTTGAGCAAGAAGTAGATGGGTCCAATGGTCAAATTGGTACAGTAAGACAAATGGACTCTTTCCAAACAATCTTGGTCACCTCTGCGGCGAACGAGCTCTAGTATTCCCTGGTCTGAGATCAAATTGCACTTCACAAGACCGATACGCCTCAACTTCGGGAGTGCCAGTAGCTCGGTGAGGGTCCAGTCTGTAAGCTGAGAGCAGCACGCCAAATCAATGTACTGAATGCGGTGGCAAGACCTGACAAGAGCCTGGACTCCAAAATCGGTGATGAGAGCACAGTGACCCAAGTGGATGTAGTGCAACGAGCGGCCTAGCTTGGTTAGGTGACGCAAGGATGCGTCTGTAATTTGCATACACTTTGAGAGCACCACATTCCGTAGACGGGGGGCACAGCGGACCATACGTTCGACCAACTTATCCGTGATTGCATTGCAGCCGGTGACGTCAATGATGCGCAACTTGTCTAGGAAATGGTCATCAGGAATCAGCTTGAACAACTCGTCCGTGATTCCAGGAGCGTTGGATATACGGAACTCTCGAAGCTGTGTAAGCTCGCTGAAGATACCCTTGAGGTACTTGTCGGTGACCTTTGGGCAGTTATGCAAGTCGATCTCCACAAGCAGACGGCAGTTCTCGTACATGGTCAAGATGCTTGTGTTGGTGACGTTTTCAGAGTTGTTGAACTTGATCCTCTTGAGCATGGGACACGCCTTGAGGACCTGGACAATCGCGTCCTCCAGGATATTGCCACATCCCGGGGCATAGAGCCCCTGAAGCCGCGTACAGTGCTTGGCCAAGGCAAAGAAGATGTCGTTTTGAATATCCTGAACACCTGTCATATCAATTGACTGCAAGTGCTCGCAGTTCTTGAGAACTTCGGCTATGGGGGCATGTGTGAGCTTTGTGCAGTTGACCAACGTCAATCTCTCGAGCTTGGGGCATCCACAGAACAAGTAGAGTAGCTCGTCGTCCACGAGCTTGGTCATGAACAGCAAGTTGAGCCTCTTGATGTAGCTGCGGTAGTCCCAGTGGGTCTGCAGCCTCGGAAGCTTCATGATCTCTCTGATCTTCTGGAACGCCAGGTCGCTTTGCATGTTGGGACGGAACCACAAAATCTCCACAATGAGGTCGCTGAACTCTCGGCACACGGTGAGCAACAGGAACAAGTCGGACTTGTCCAAGTACTTGAAGATCTGAAGCAACACCTCTGTGGGGAGCTGCAACAAACGCAGATTGTTGAAGTTGAACATCTGGATCTGCAGCCTGGCGCCCGTCAGCCCCCTCTTTTGGAGAAGGGCCTCTCTAAGCTCCACGTAGTCGTTACGGTCGCTATCTAGGGAGTGTCTCCCGTCGTTGTAATCGAGATTGTGTTGATTCGAGGACTGATTTTGCAGTGGCAGTTGGAAATAGGACACCACTTTCCCCTTGACTCTTTTAGACAGCCGCAGGCCGTCCTGGTTGGTGTTGGCGACCATGGAAATGCTGGGTTTTTGTGTATTTGGGGTTGGTGCTGCTTGCGGTTTGCTGGATGGGGGCCTCGAGGTTGGAGGTATTTTGGTGATGGTGCACGGGTGTTTTCGGTGCACAGGAGCGTCGCCGAGACAGCGTTGCCAATAGAAAGGAAAAAAAGGTTTTCAAAGAAGTGGCCTTGTCTGGAGTGGACTGAGTACTGGCAGGTTGTAGGTTCATATCGCAGGAGATTTGTGGTGTGGTGTATGCAGTACGAGGATTTTCCCCAGCCGGCCTGGAGGGTAATATTTTTAAAGAGAAATGGAGGAGGAAAGTCAAGGGTGAATTTGGCGAAATAGGAGGTCATTCAGTATGAAAATTGACGTTTTACTGGTGTCTCGTGACGTTGCCGTGGTGTTATTGCAGTTGCTGATTCGCACTGATAATGATGTGGTAAGCAGCCTAGGCAAGAATAGATTGTGGTGGATTGAAGAAAATGGGAATTTTTGGAGAAATGGAAAGCGTGATTTTTTGACAATTGGACAAATTACGAAGATTCACGTTTTTGAAAGTTTTGCAGGGCTGTGTTCTGGACCTTGTCCTGGCTGCAAATCGGATTCCTGCAAACCGATGGAGGCAGAGTCAGCCATGGAATGAAGCGAAGAAAACATAAAAAGTGAGTAGTTTTTGATCAAAAATGGATTGAGTTGAAATTGCCCTGATTTTTGAGGATTTCACTTTTTGTTTACCTGGAAATCTGCAATTGCGCTTCTTGGGCTGTACTTGCTCTCGAACGCCGTATAGAAGACCAGGGCATCTAAGTCAACCGCTGTACCGTTATGACCAATTGTATGATAACTGTTAAAAATGGAGAAACTTGAAATCTTTGGATTCGACTCTGTTTGGCGCTCTATAGCCCTCTACAATACCCTCACCTAAGGTGTCTATGACTATGTATGTTCGTTATTGTTTTTCGTAATGGCTAGGCAAAGCGGGTGCCATGGCTGATTTTGGGGGTGTCGGGATTGGAGTTGTAACCCATGGCTGCAGAGCTCAACGAGAGCTGTTCAAGCTGCTGCATCACGTTCACGTCCTGAAGCTGCTGTTGCTGTACATATTGCTGTCTCTGCTGGTAAAGCGGTCCCATGTCCTGGTTGCTTCCGTTGTACATGCCTGGATGCACATCCTGGGGCTGATAGTATCCGTTGGGTGGCATTCCTGGATTGGCCTCACCCATTGGCATCTTGGGCATTCCATAGACCATGGGCATGCCCTGGTTGGGCTGCATGTATGGCTGGATCATTGGCTGTGTAGCACGATGAGGCGAGTGGGTCTTGCCTCTACGGTCTCTCTTGCCCTTGCGGGTGGTCAGGCCAGAACGACTCAATCTGTTAGTGGCAAGTCCAACCTCTTCAACAAGCTTCTTGTATGGCTGGAGGTTGGTGATCTGAATCTCCAAAAGAACCCTCTTCACCTGGCCAATGATGTACTGTTTGTATCTGGCATTGCTGAGCTCGTTTCCAATGTTCATAAGCATAGGGTTCGAGACGATCTTGTAGATGAAAAGAGGGCCGGTGCTCTGTTCCTGGTTTTCAGCCAAAATGGTCTCCAAAAGAACGGTAGGTGGGCGGGCGCTCATCTCTTCAAGATCGTGCTCGTTGAAGTGTCCAAAGATCTCACTCATGATCTTCTGTCTGACAGCCATGTCGTTACGGTTGTTCAAGATGTTGAAGATGGTCAAGTTTGCCAACTTGTGAGTGCACAAGTGCCCCAAGTGAGGCAAGAACTTGTCACACAACAACTCGTAGCGGTAGTCGTGCTTCAAACCCTTGCAGCCGTTGAAAGTCTCCAAGAACCAAGTAATGAGCAAGGAACCGTTGTTGTTGACCACCAACTCATTGGCGAACTCGACAATCATACTGGCAACCAAGAACATCTGCTCGTTCGAAACGTAGCCCTTGTTTGCAGATTTGGTGTCACTGGCAGTTTCAAGAATGGTACGGATGCAACGAGCACCGAACCTTCCGAAAGAGATCTCCAAGAAGTTGTCAATCATGGTTTCAAAGATGAAGTCATTGTATGGCGAGCCAAACTTGAGACAGCATTGCACCACGTAGTTACCAAACTGGTCATTAAACAACTTGACTGTGTATGGCTTCAAGCTTTCGGCAATGATGGTCATCTGAGTGAAGTCATTGTGGCACAAGTTGATGATCTTCTGAATGGCCCAAGTACCGTTCTTGTGAATACTAAACTGGGTCAAGTAAGGAGCAAGCTCCTTGACCATCATCAACTTGATCAAAGGCGACTCCACCAACGTGAACAACTTTTGGACAATGGTGTTTCCGATATGATCGTAGCACAATTCTGGCAACTCGTCCAACATGGCGAGACACAAAGCCTCCAATTCTGGCTGAGTAATGGTTTCAGGCTCAGAGTCTGGCGATTCGGCCTTGCCTGGACTGTCAGAGTTGGCCTTTTCAGTAGCTTCAAAGATTTTACGCAATTCTCTCAATTTGGGCGAATCAAACTGGCGCATTGGGATGGGATCAGGCAATGGCCCAAAGTTGCTCTCGTACTTATCCTTTGGGAAAGCCATGGTGTGCTTCAAAAGCAACTTCACGCGGTTGATATTGACTGAATCCAACATGGACAAGGTCGAGACCAAGTGGATCAAGTCATCCTGGATAGCAGGAAGATCAACTTCAGTGGAACCCTGAGGACGAAGCTTGGAGGCTCTACTTTGAGGTTTGTTCAAACTGCCAGAGTTGGACTTGAGCGAGGCATTGCTGGATTCCGCCTTGTAAGGAGAACCGTTCAGCTTGAAGCTTTGGCTGAGTGGCCTTTCGGAGAGTTTAGCAAAAGCCACGTACAAGATGTGGCCTGGGACGAGCTCCAAATGGTTAAAATTAGCCTTCAAATTCATGGCAACCTCGATGGAAGCACACTCGACCAAGGCCAACTTGGAAGTGCTTGTGGTGCTCATTCTGATGCCAATGACACCTCTTCCATGCAAAGGATTGCCCACAGCGCCAGGAAAGCTGGCAATGAGGTGCCACAACTTCGCAGCGTCCATGAACTGAGGTACATTGTCCAAAAGAAGCGACAGAGTAGGACCCAAGCTGGGGTTTTCAAAATTTGTTGTCACCACCACCAGGGCAAAATTAAAGTCGTTCTCCAAGATCGGCTGGTACACGGCGGCCGAGACGGTGTCGTGGTGGGGACGGTAATGCAGAGCGGAAGGCGGATTAGGATGCTGATTAGAAGGACGGGCCTGACCCTGCTGGAGAAGCATTATGGGGTTGGAGAGGTCTGGAAGGTTGGAGGCCACGCCTGAGTAGGTCTGCGAGCGGTTTCGGGTCATGCCGGCACCGTCGGGGATATTAAGCATGAGATTATCGAAAAGCACGGGCTTTTCACTCGACACAAAGGGCAGAGGCACCTGGGGCTCGGATAACTGGCCCGGGTGGGCGCCGCTGGTGGTGTGGGAGCGGTTTCGGGTGGGATTAGAGAGGAAGCTGGCGTCGAGCGAGGACGGCTGGGCTCCCAAGGTCGGACTGATGAACTGAGCCAGGCCCAGGTTGGTTGTATCGTAGTCCAAGAAGCTCAGGCCCAGGTGGCCCGGGCTGAGGGACACGGCGTCGTCGTTCCAGATCAGCATGGTCAGAAATAGCAGGCCCAGGCGGACACGGCGGCCCGGCATGCCGTTGGAGCCGCTAGGAGGTCTATTGCTTGGACTCAAACCCAAGTGGTCGATTCCCGAGGGCAGCATGGAGAGCGCTATAGGGGCGTCTTGCGGCACCGGAAGCGAGCCCGTGTTGGCGTCGGTGGCCAAGGGCAGAGCCAGGGACGAGAGCAGGTCTCTCTGTGGGATCGGAATGGACGATGAAAGTGGATCAGCGTGGACCAGGGCTGGATTGGGCATTCGGCCGCCGTTTTGCGCGGAAGAAACGTCGTTCTGGGGTAAACCAGACCCGTAGAAGCCGTTGGAGGTGTTGTTGTGGGCGCCCGACCGCTGTGGAACACCCTGGGGTGCCAGAAGCGAGATGGTAGGCGGCGAGATCACCATGGGAACGGACGGGAAAGGGTCAGGGTGTGTTGCCGGAGGACAAATTAAGCGGAATTAGGTGGAAAATTGAACGGCCTGGGTTCGTGGAATAAGAGAAAGCGACACTTGGACAGTTGGTCCAGAATAGGAGGTGACTGAAGAAATGTGCGCGAGAACGCTGCGCCCACACATATAGCGTTTAAAAACGGAACATGGATGCCACCTTGAGGAAAGAGAAAAAAAAGGTGGTTTTTATTTTTACGAAAAAAGACGTTGTTTTTTGTTTTTTGTCTTTCAAAGACGAATTGAGGCGAAATCGGGCGTGATTTTGGCACTGGAGGTGTCAAACGGCGGTGAGCTAAAGCCGACGGAACCGTTGGAATTGGCGCTACAAGATGCACGGTGGTAGTGTGGAGGAGACGAAGAGAAGGTTTGGGGAGGTTTTTGGGAATTTGGCAAATGATGGTTTTTCATTGGTTTGGTGGAATTTTTGAAAATACGGCGTTCAAGTGGCATAGGTTCCTCTGGTTCTGGAACGCTGGACCAAAAGCACAAGGCAAATGTCAGCCGTGGCAAACGAGGACAGTATTACTAAGAAACTCAAAATATACGAAACAGCACTGTTTGAGTCAATTTTCAAAATTCAATTTGTTGTGCCACCGTTTTTTTTCATCAATTGCTCTGCCCTGACCGTATCTCGAATGCATGCCGTTGATGCTCCTGCGTTGCGTTCCTCTTCAACGCAAACCACCACTCGTCAAAACACAAAATTAGCTTTTACCCTTCCCACCTCACGCAACTTTGCCCTGGGGATCTAAAAACCATATTTTTTTGCTGGGCAATTGTGACAATGCCGTTTTTCACGGCAACGCCAATGCTGGAAACGATTGCAAAAATGTCGTCGCGTGGTCAGTGAGGGCACAAGTAGTCGACACTCAGGGCGAATTTGGGCACGAAAATAGCACCGTTCGAAAGCTCTCCATCTGCTCTACCCAGTACCACCCTTCAAATCGCCATATTCTGTCCTCCCCTGACGTTGACTCGAGGGTTGCTGAGGTAGCCACGACATTGTCGCGCAACCGCCCCAATCCGACGGATTCTCGCCGACGCATTTTGGCTGCGTTACTTGCTGTCGAGCAGCGTAACCTAGAAGGGTAGGTATTCCGAAAATGATGCCATCTCAGAATTGATCCCAGGAAATTTCATGATTTTTTCAAATTTCAAAATGAGCCCACCTCGATCTGCTGGAAAATCCTTCCATTGTTTTCTTTACTTGCTATGGTCATTTGCAAAAAGCCCCGCATACCACGGAAGTGGCACTTTCCCATCTGACTGGGCTGGTCACGTGATCATGCACATGTCAGTGCTTAACTTGGCAACGACCACACGGATGTAGTCGGCGTTAGGCGAAGGCTTGGATGGAAACGGCGCTCTGTGGGGCCCTGGTTGGAAATTCCACCGTGGCTCCAAATCAGATGTACTGCACATAGTCGGGCCCGTTCCTGTGCTGAAAAACGTTATCCATTGTTCTGCGTTTTGACGTATCCCGGCCGTATGCAGGGTGAAGTCCGACCCCATAGACTTGTGGATCAAGGGCAATTGTAATCGGGATTTTGTAAATTATTGTAGCTCAATAATCACAATTGATCACTCACAATAGTATCAGAGCCTCAATGTGACTAGACCAGCCCAAGCTGTATGAAGATTATTCACAGAGGATCCTACTGGCCCTACCTACACTTGCCTAACCTGGCGTATGAGTTCAAATCATGTATTCACTGAAATTCGTCCTCTTTTCTCTAATCCTTAATTTTGCTGCTAACTTGATCATCCCCCATGCTCCTCATCTCGAAGTGAAACCCCAGATTCCAATGCCCTCATAGTTCAATTGGGATCTTTCACCGACTTCGGCCCGTTCCCGGAGCATACGTGCTCTGGAGGCCATGCTTTTCAAGGTGTTTCTCTTGACGGCGCCGAGCAACGCACTAGCTGGAGATTTGAGGCGTATTTTGCTGTGAGTAGGACGAAGCCCTTTGATACCCAAAAAAGGCTTTTCGTGAAAGCTTCCGATAAAAGCCTCCACTGAAGGCAAGGCCAATGTCAAAGCATGCACGCAAACATCAACAGGTCCTTTGAGAATTCCAAAAATGCTCCGAGCCTTGGTACCCAACCATGCTAGGTTTTCCAAAACACGAAGCTTTTTGAAGACAAACACAAGAACCTTCACAACCCACAGCTTGACGATGCTTTGAAGGATCCTGTCAAAAAACGCCAAAACTTTTCCAAACTGCTGAAGAAGGTAAATCGCTCGGGGAATGTCAGAACTGTTCCCGTCAGATTGTTCACTTTGTGAAAGAATCTCAGCCATACGAGCATTGTATGCTTCCTCGTCAAGAAAGATCTCCAGAGAGCTGTCTGTTTCAACATCTGACAAATCAAAAACGTCCGGATGATTTGCAAAGCCGATACTCATTTCCAAGGCTTCCCATTCCAGAACATCGATCCAGGCTGGATGAACTGGTTCAAAATGGTGCTGGGTTTGAGGCAGAGGTTGAGCGGATTCCAGCAAAGCCTCAAGAAGCAGAATCTGCTCATTTTCGTAGTCTTCGGGTGCTTGTGGCGGTTCAATGTCTGAAGATAAATCGGGGTTTACTGTGCCCTCGAAATGGTCGTCTGATAAGACATCGTCCTCAGGGTCCTCCTTAAAGATAATTGTTTCAGCGAGGTTGAAGAAGTCGTCAAAAAATTCAGCATTGAATGGACCTTGATTGTTTTCTGGGGGTTCTGGGAAGCTTCTCTGTAACGATTGACTCTGGACATCTGGGGAGGCATCCCCTAATGAACCTTCAATGGTGCACGCAATTGACCCACTTTCCAACAATTTTTCCTCTTTCTGACCTTCCTCGTCCCTTTCAACAACACTGTCAATTCCCTCCTTGCAATCTTGCTGGAATTCAGGACTCGTTGGTGTGGGAAACGGCATGGACTCCTTCAAGCCCAGAGGAGTCCGCTTGAGTGCTTTTTGGAATCTGCGCTTCACTTTATATGGTTCTTTGACTCACTGAAAAGAAAATTCTGGAGTCTATAGGGTCCTACACGGCCGTTGGTGTTCGCTTTATATGGCTGCAAAATCTGGAACATGTGCGAAGCACTCAGCAGACGAGTATGGGCAATGTTTCAAAAGCTCAGAATATGAAATTTGGGAAGATGGGTGAAATCCAGAGGCTTCGGGTAGTATAATGTCTTTTTATTTGTTGGATACGAATTTCTAAGGTTCTAGTGATACAGTCATGGCTGCCTTTGTGAGGTAGTATTGATGATGTCTCATCTGGTGAGAACCTGAAGTCGACCTTTCAATCCTGAGAGGCAATGTCATGAGATCACTCTTCATTTTTATTGATTCCATTGAAGTGCCTCATTGAAAAAATGTGCCATCTTGCTATTATGATGGTGCAACTTCGATCACCGAAGCCGGTCCTCACTATCCACACTGGCTATCGAAAAAGGCAATTCCAGCTGAAAGAACCCAGTCACTCTTTCATCTTAAAGTTAAGAAACCCCCTTCTCCTAATTTCTCAATGTTCGTGAATTTCCTCCTCATATTAGCATTCCACCTCTTCATCACACTCCCCACCACCTCTACGACCACCTCCACCACCACTACATTAGTGAAACCAACACCCACATATCAATTCCCCAAAAACACATAAAAAAAAAAAAATCTCCATCAGCCTTCAAACCACCCTTCCCCATTTCACCCACATCCTCATCCCATGCCTCCTCCACATCCCACCCCCACTACCTCTCATCTCCCCAGACATCACCACATCCACCTCCACCATCAACAACCACACCCCACAGACCTCCCCCACGTAGATCCCCCAATAACCCCAACTCTCCCCCAATTCTCCCCCAAACCGCCCTCCACCTCCTCTTGTCGCCCCCACCCTACCCATCTCTTCGTCTCACGTGGATGCTTTTTCGCATATCAATGAACCACTCTCTTCTGGGCTTCATCGCTACAACCCACCAGGCCGTGGCCTACTACAACCTGTGGCAGCTCCAGCAGCAGTTCACCATCAACCCAAAGGAGAACCTGGCGGAAATAGCCCGTTTTCCCGAACCCAGCGAAATCGACTTGTATGTTCTTCCAGACAAGTTGAGACAGCTCGTCAGGCTGTACATCCGACTCATGCGGTCAATTCATGTTCAGAGGGAGATTGACACTGCTTTTGACAATTTTCTTACCTTCATGGGCGATTTCAACCGTGTGGCGGAGGTATCTTGGAACTGGATATGTCCTGCTTTGATCAGCAGCAGTAATGAGCTTCTTCTGGTGTACCAGGTCAGGTCCAAGAGCAAGACCAAAGAGGAAAACGACGAAAGTTTGGAAAAAGTCGCCACCATAATCAACAGACTGTTCAAAATCTGCTTGACCGATAAGTCCGTGGACCCTGCTACATCGAAGAAACTGTGCATCCACTTCTTCCTAGCGACCCTCATCAAAATCTACTTCAAGCTCGACCACATTGAGCTTGCCAAGCTGATGGAAAAGGCGCTTATGGGCACAAACTCCGCCATTCCTACAATCATTAATTGCCCCGTCCAGTACAGAAAGCACGTCGTCACCTACTTGTATTATAGTGCGCTTTTATCGCTAGACGATGCTGAGTATGCCCTAGCGGAGGTCAAGCTCCTTACAGCATGGGACTTTTTGCTGTGCTACAACAGACCACAAAAGGTCCAGCCGCATCTGGAGAAAATCTTGATGCTTGTGGCGCCTTTGAAGTACTTGTCTTCCCGCAAAAGACTCTCAGACGCTCTCTATGAAAAATACCCCAACCTCAAGTACATTTACAAGGACCAGCTACTCAAGTCCGTCCGCGAGGGCAACCTTGCTGCTTTTGACGAACAGCTCCAAAAATTCCACACCGTCTTGCTCAACAGACACATCTACTTGTTGGTGCTCCGACTCAAGCAGTTGTGCTACCTTCTGCTTGTGCGCAAAACGGCCAATTTCTACAAAACCGTCAACGACAAAACCCCGCATATCGTGCCCCTTGCCTACTTCCAAAAAGCCCTTGATTTCGCTCAGAATGGCTCGGATCCGTCCAAGGAAGAGGCATCTGTGGAGCAGGTGGAGTGCATACTAGCGAACCTTATCGCCCAAAAACACATCAAGGGCTACATTTCCCACGCCAACAGGTGCATTGTTCTCCTGAAATCAGATGCTTTCCCGAAACCAGCTCCTCTGAGCTAGTCTCCGACGGCTAAAACGGCTCGAAACGGGTCCGTTCCATCTCCGTCACGTGGGCTGGTGTACGGGTGTCGCCATGCTCACATCAGAGACACCTTCAAAAAAATTCTCCAATTCATCCTCCACCATCCACCATGTCGTTCATAAATATCTGTCGTGAGAACACCGACCCGTTTTACCGTTACAAGATGCCTCCGATCCAGTCCAAGGTCGAAGGTAGAGGTAACGGTATCAAGACTGCCATTCCCAACCTTAGCGAGGTTGCCAGAGCCTTGGGCCGTCCTCCAGCTTACGTTGTGAAATACTTCGGTTCCGAGTTGGGTGCACAGACAAAGATCAACGAGGAAGATGATAGATACCTTGTTAACGGTGCCCACTCCCAGGCTGAGCTACAAGACTCCTTGGATGGCTTCATCAACCGTTTTGTGCTCTGTGGCGCTTGTAAAAACCCCGAGACCCAGATCATCATCAAGAGCAAAGGCTTTTTGCAGAGAGACTGTAAAGCCTGCGGTCGTATCACCGACATCGACTTGAGACACAAGTTGTCTTCTTACATCTTGAAGAACCCACCCCCAACCTCCACAGGAAAGAAGGCCGCTACCGCCACCGCCAACGTTGTGGGTGGTGGTAAGTCCATTTCTGATATTGCACAGAGCGCCGATGGCGACGCCGCCAAGCAAGCCAACGGTGACGACGATGACGACGCTTTGACCAAGAAGATCAACGCTGAGGCTGCTGCTCTCGCCAGCGAAACCGTTGAGGTTGCTGACGACGACTGGGCCGTCGACATGTCCAAGGAGGCCATCGAGGCCAGAGCCAGAGAGTTGGAGGGCCTTTCGCTAAATGACAGCCAGACCAAGCTCACGGAATTCGGTGAGTGGGCCTTGAAGGATGCTGGTGACGACAAGGAAGAGTTGCCATCCGACATTGATCTTTATAAGAAGATTGTGGAGTTGGAGCTCTTGGAGAAGCCAGACGTCATGCTCGTGTTGGCTCAGGTCTTGTTCGACGAGGACATCCTTGAGCAGCTCGATGAGCACAAGGGTTTGTTGGCCAAATTGATCGACGGTCAGAATGACTTCGAGAAGGCTTTCTTGGGTGGTCTTGAGAGATTCTTGGGTTTGGAGAAGCCCGAGTTGATTCCTCTCGTTCCAAAGATCCTTGTCAAGTTGTACGACCTGGAGTTGGTTGGTGAAGATGAGATTCTCAACTGGGGTTCGAAGGTGTCCAAGAAGTATGTTTCGAAGGATGTGTCTAAGAAGGTGAGAAAGGCCGCCAAGCCTTTCATCCAGTGGTTGAAGGAGGCCGATGAGGAGTCGGACGAGGAGTAAATAGCATTGAGATCGGCGTGCCGGGACTACGCCTATAGTTAATACACTACGGTACAGAGCAGTGATAGAGGTGTTTTGGATGTAATTTGTTGGTATTTTGGAATGTTTGGTCGGTTGAAAACATCGTGAACCTAGCGAATGGTCAAAATGTGATCGATTAGGTTAAGCCATCAATTCTCCTACTTTATGAATTGTAATTGTAAATTTTGTTTCTTTATTTAATTAACTCTTTTCGTTTCTCTTTTATGCTTTCCTTTTGGTAAAAGGAATATTTGGAATTCTTGCTTAAAATTCTGATTTTTACGATTTATTGAGACATTGATGAGAATCATACAAATTGATCTGTGACCTTTTAAATCTACACAAAGCAAATTTGAAAAAAACAGAAACCTTTCCGTATTTGTCATGCCCAATTGAGTATGATTCGACTCTCATTCGAGAGAATTCTTCCTCGTAGATGGATTATTCCTGGTCTCCCAATTCTTGCACTGGTGCGAATGCATCAAGCAGGTTCCTCTGATATAGTTTCAGTAAATTTATTCTACAGGCAAAACGTGTTCTCTAATTAGCTTAGTTTTATTTTGACTATGTAATATTGATCCGCCATTCGATTTTTCACGATCTATACGTGCGATGCGGAGACATCATCAGCCATCATTTCGACCCTTTATCTGCGCTTAACCATTAAAGGCTTCGTAGACCGTCGAGTTCGAAGCACAGAATAACGAAGGGGCCTCGTCTCAAATTTTGAAGGAGCCAGTAGAAGTCAATGCCTTGCGTGGTGCGGTAACTTGTACAACGCTCTCAAGCCTGAAACAGTAAAGACACCACAACCTGGGCGTCTGCATTATTACTAACACAGACACCTCAATACCTCAATGGCTTGACCATTTCTCTTCAACCACAAGCCTATTCCACCAACTATGCAGCATAATCCCACTCAACGCTTGGGCGGCTGGGGCGAGTTCCTGAACCCACGACCCCGCTTCTGGCCCTGCTTGGGACCCTGCTGTTTCTGCCCGCTGGGCATGTTAGGCGGCATGTTGCCCATGTTGGGAGGCATTGGCATGTTGGGCATATTAGGAGGCATGGGCATATTGGGCATGGGGAACGGGAACATTGGCATTCCGCCCTTGGAGCCGCCCATCATGTTCGCCATGACCTTCTGAGGGTTGAACTCACCCCGTAGCTTGTCTTGCTTGTGGCAGTAGGCCGTCCAGGTGAACTCGTCAAAGCCGTAGTTGAAGTAGTCCAGGATATCGGCACCGGGGATCCGCCAAGGCTTGTCCTTGAGCTCGTTGAGATCCACCTGCGTTAGCGGCTTTCCGTCTAGCTCTGCCACGCTATTTATGTCCACCAGGGAAGCACCTTCGTCTTTGCTGACTTCAATGCCTT